TTACGCAAGCGAAGCATTGGTCACAGTCAAATCAATTACGGAATTATACGGAATATATACGGATAAGATGCACAGTGAAAAGTGGAGAAACTATCGTTCAGCAACGATAGATCGCTACCGTCTATTGCTTCCCACTGATTATCACCAGTCCGGCAAGTATTGGCAGAGCTCCAAACGATGTTGTGGGAGTTAAATCTCCACCAAAAAAAAACCTTACTTTGAAATTGTAAGAAGAATTTTTCCCATTCGCAAGTAATAAAACCGATGTTTGGCGGACGGTAACACAAGATCAAAATGAGGGATTCGCTCCCCCCCCCCCCCCCCCACTTCTACTTTACCTCCACATACCTCAGAAATTTGTGCTCTTCTATATTTAATGTTATTCCTAATCGCAATCATTACACCTCTTCCGCGATCAAGTCTATCCTCCCGTATCGAACCCTCTTTTATCAGGGGAGAACCATGTTTTTGAAATTAAAATTAAATTAAAATTTTCGCAGTGTTTAGATAATTCAGTATACTTAGACATGGATTTAGCAATGGATTTCCATTGTAGAATCCTCAAATTACTAATATTGAGTTTGCGATTATTTACTTGCGCCATTACAATTACCTTCTTTAACCGAATGTGTCGCATTATGTAAATCTATGGTTTTCTTAATTCGCTCATACAGTACTTCCGCATTCTTGTCCGTTAAGATCCGATCGATAATACAGGATCTTCTTGATGCTTCCGTTACTTGATTTATACGACAGAGAATTATCTGCCAGCTCTAGGTAGTTCCTGTAAGTTTCGTCGGCGGTAGAATCCATATCCAGAAGGCGTGGAAAATTTCTTAGTGATTTAACTGAAGCCACTCTCGACGAATTGATGTTCTTCTCCACAAGTAATTTCGCCTTAAGAAAAGGAAGGTTATCAAAAGTCATAATCCTTGCAATCTCCATATGTTTCTTAAGAACTGGGCAATTACATTCCGTCGTATTGTGAGGGCCACTGCAGTGATCCAGTTAATCTGCTTCTTTAAACCATCACTTCTTCTCTAAATCACAAAGCGCCTCTCGAGATGAGCGATAATCACCAGCACAATTTAAGCAAGCCTCAGGTTTTTCACAATATTTACTTATGTGACCAGTACGACCACATTTAAAGCATCCTAACTGACTGCACGTATGGAGAGACACCGCCTTCCAAATGATAATCTTGTCTGGTAAACTTTCGCCTCTGATTTCCAAGCACATTGCTTCTGAATCCTCAAATTCTCTAGTAGATCTATTGCGCCTTCTTAATATAAAGAGAGTTAGAGATCATTATGTTAGGAATCTTTTCTTCGATGATTTTTTTTACTTCGTCCATACTCATATTCTGGAATCTCCTTAATCACCACTTTTCTGCTAATCTTGTATCTCGGTATGAAGGCAACGATCATTGCTTCTTCAAGTAATTTGTTTGACAGAACACTATTAGCCACAGACTTGGATAAGAATAACACCTTCCATGTATCACGAGAGTACTTGCAGCCTAATTAAATTTAACGTTGCATTTATTTAATATTCCGGATTTTAACCAGCGACATTTTTTTGTTGCTAGAGGCATTGTCAGATCTGGAACGCAACATGACAACATAAAGTGCTTTGCTAAAAGCATCATACTTGAGTCTTTTCACTATATTTGAGTTGCCAGAACTATTTTTATCTCCCTTAGGTATATCCTTATTCGTGGTAGAGTGATTTATGGTCTTTGGATCCACAGCAACCCTGGATACTTCTTCAACAGAGGCACCTGAGTCACTTTTTGATCTAACTTTCTTTGAATCGCGAAGCAACCTAATTGAGTGACTATTAGCGGTAAAATCTTCGTCCGTCGTCGGATGACTGCTTTCAAGGCCGACCATGTCCACGTCTACAATTTCACCATCAGATAACTTCATTTCTGTACCTCGAAAAATCATTTGCAACATAAATCTCATCGGATTCTCTCTGATTTTTTCGAATCCTGAGGAGTCCACGTGCCCGCCAACCGATAGGCACGTGTCTTGGAGGTTAAGTTTCGGCACTTTGCTTATCCTACACGCCAAACAGTACAAAAATGATAAAAAGGCCCTTCTGGGGGGGGGGGGGGCAGTACAAAGGGAAGAGAGAAATGGAGCAAGAGCTCTTCAGTGAAATATTCCTCTAATTACTACAAAGGAAAACTCGCGAAAAAAATAAAGGGCGCCAAAAAAAGGACGCCTTGTCGCTAATCTCGCCCGATTGGAAGCTCAAATATTTAAACTTCACTAAATTTGCAACTGGAGCTCTAATGTGAGCGGCAGAAAATAGTTTTATTATCTAGATGAGCGGCGGAAATTAAATTTATCAACTAATATATATATATATATACCAGATGTACAAGCTTAAATCCGCTGTTTGCTCATAGGTGGCATTAGTGAGCGTACAAAGCTACTTTGGGCACACTTTTTTTTATGTGTTTGATATCTGTCAATATTAACCAGCGCACATAATCAGCAATTTCATACAACAACATATATTTTTTCTTTCGTAATCATGTCTAGTTTTTTGCTAAAAAAAAAGCATATGCGGGAAGCTTTGCTTTTCTGTTTCAATTTGAAGAAATCGGCTACCGAATCGCATCGAATGCTTGTGGAGGTCTATGCAGAGATTGGTTTCGCCAGTTCAATGACGACAATTTTGACCTGAGTGACAAGAAGCGTAAAAATCGACCTAGGAAGGTTGAGGACTGTCATTTGCAGGCTCTTTTGGACGAGGACGATACCCAATCGCAAAAAATGCTTGTCGAGCAATTGGGTGTTTCTCAAGCAGCCATTTCCATGCGGCTACATGCCATGGGGAAGGTTCAAAAGGATCGGAAAATGGGTGCCGCATGAATTGAACGATAAGCAGATGAAGCGATGCCAAAATTCGACATGCCAAATTCTGCTTGCCAGACAAAAAAGAAAGTCGTTCCTGCATCGGATTGATCTGCAGGCGATGAAAAGTGGGTCTATTTTCAGAAATCCTAAACGCAAGAAATCTTGAGTTGATCCCGTCCAACCATCAACATCTTCCTCAAGACCAAATCGCTTCGGACGAAAGACGATGCTGTACGTTTGATGGGATCAGGAGGGTGTCATCTACTACGAGCTGTTAAAACCTGGTGAAACTGTTAATGTTCACCGCTACCACTAACTGATCAAATTGCACCGTGCTCTACGTGAAAAAAGGCCGCATTATCGAAAAAGACATGACAAGCTGATTTTCCTTCACGACAACGTACCATCGCACACGTCAACAATGATCCAAAACTACTTGGAGACACTCAACTGAGAAGTGCTATCCCATCCCGCTTACTCACCAGACCTGGCACCTTCTGACTATCACCTGTTTTCGTCGATGGGCCACGCACTCGCTAAGACATGTAGATAAACGCGATCTCTGACTATGAATATTTTGCTAATATGTCTTGATGTTATATCATCTTCAATTTCGGTTTGCTTTTTGCTGATACATTTCTGTCAATATTAATTGATACAGACTATGCTCGACTGTTGTCAGAGATCGGCTAACATAATATGTAAACACACATTTGCCATACGTGCTCTTGACAGGTTTGGCTATCTGGATACATATATGATGTTGTATCATATATCACATTTTATTAAAATTAAATTGTAATAATTTTTTAAATC